ATACCAAGTATTAAAATTGAATATTGATTCTCCCTCCTCTGATTCTAATGTCAATTCATCTGATTTTAAGTTTGCAAACAGTCTTGTAATTTAATATTATCGTGATTAGAGTCGTAACTCTATAACATTGGGTTCGAATCTTAATGAATTTTCTGTTTTCCCCAGGTTCTTATCGATTCCAGTATGACTATAAAATTATTGCATATAAATCCATCTCCAACTATGAATTATGAAATCTGCTTCACTAAAACATTTACGTCTCGATTGATGTTTACATATCTCTCATTCTTGTTTATCTCGGATGATAAATGTGACTGCACATATTGTAATGTAATCGATGAATTGTCGTATACAACTACACACTCGCTCTCCTCTCCCCTCTCTTTTGACCATACATCCACTTAATTTGGTTACGTTTGAAACTAGTAATCAAATAAAACCGAAACCAAATCATTAATAAATTTTAATTACTCACACGAAGTCTGTAGAAGATAGAAAAAGTGTGAATCTTTACTGGTAGTAGTTGTACTCCACGTTATGAGTGTCTAATTGGTCACAAACTCAAACCAAGATTAGTACCCACGTTAATAAGCCATTGTTCTTAATTAATATCTTCCACCACCAAGTTTTAATTGGCTTCAGTTTTTAATGTTGTCACATGTGTCTCAATTTTAGTGGGAAGCAAACTTTTATGTGAATTCTTAAAACATACGTGTCATATATAAAAATATAGGGCAAAAATACCCCAAATAAAGTATGTACATATGTCCAAGTTTTCGTGAACCCCCAAAAATTTGGGCACTTAGATGATGGAGCAAGCATAATGTTTAAGGGGTTGGTGGGTGGGAGGGAGGATGGTTAGTAATATATTTTAATTATGTGTGCACCTCACCACATCTTATTTGCTTTGATTATTGGATTACAAGAATCTTGTACCAAGGAACAAAATCTTTATACTTCAAATGGTTCATAGTCTTTTATGATTGAGTTGTTCAAATGGGAAAGAGCAAAGCAAGCTTAAGCAAAGAGATTAATTATTAACTCTTATGGTAAATGATTGGCCATAGAAGTATGAGATAAATGTCACATGCTGAGAAAATATTGGAGGGAGATTGCTAAAATGATGTTTTGGTCTTCGAGATTATGGGAAATGGGAAGATGCAAGGTTAGAACAAGGTCGGTTTTCGGATCTATTTTGGATCGAGAGAAAATGTGTACATATAAATACAGATTAAGGTGTATGTCGAAATATGTCGTGTTGTGCGACACAATGAATGATCTAATTTTCCTTGTGATTTTTTTTGAAATAAATTGGACCCATCTTATATGATATGAAATCCTGGTTACCCCCTTGTTGGGGGATCATCATACATTCAACGCTATCCACAACTACAGGTGCCAGGGTATACCATAAGTGGAGTTGATATTCTCGTATTGGTTCAATGTTGTCATTGTCTTACTCGTATATATTGATTAGTGTCACACATATTGTCTATGAAGATCAACGCCGTTAGAGCTTATTCGATAACTACTAATTCTTTGGTTCATGACCTATTACCCTTATGGAAGAGTGAATCCACATCCATCCTTGATTTGATCAATACATGTTGTTCATTTCGTCCCTTTTAACTTCATTATTCTTGAATTTGTATGATTATTCAAGTGCAATTACACTTACGTTAACTTCGCGATTGATTCAGATTGTGGGCACATTTTAAAAGTTACAAACTGAAGAAAACATGAATTATAATTGGTCAGATTTTGACGTGCAATCTGGGTTTTCTTGCCGTTAATTAGTCAAAGTTAATTACCCTGTTAATCATCCTTGATTAGTGGCTCTCCATGTGGAGGTTCTGCCCGTAAGATCTACTATACCCATAAAATACCAAAAAAGGAAATACACCAAATCCATCTCGACATGCGTCTATCAATTGGCTGGTCCCCTCACTTACTTACAAATTACTAGAGTGTGTAAATACAAACGTAACACCTCGGGGGTAAAGAAAAGCTACAAACCTTGGATTCGAGATAAATGTCATAAACGGTTTGGTGTTAATATATCAAGTTATTTTGAAAAATGCTAACTAACAATTTTGTGCTTTTCTTTTACAAAAACTAGGTAAAATGTTGTTTAGGGTAGGGGTGGGCATTGGGTGGGTCGGGTGGATTTTGACCATAAAATGCACCCACCCGCGCTTAAACGGATTGATAATTTTTAACCCACCACCCACCCACATTTAGTCTCGGGTTGGGTCGGGCGGATGGTGGATGATGCGGGTGGGTTTGTGGGTTCACCCACATCACAATGTATATAATATATAAAGGAGTCAACTTGACATGATAATAGGTGAAGAGAATCATCGAGGGAAACAAGAAGTTGAAATAGGGCGAAAAATGTCGAATTAGTTCTTAAATTGGATAGAAATTCTATTATGAAAGAGTTTTCTACAGATTGAGACGATTATTAGGTGCAAGGAACTAAAGAAAATAATTCCACAAAGGAAAGAGCGGTGATCTAGGCGCAAGAATTAGAAGAAAAAGTATATGGAAGAAGAGGGGATCTCTATTTGGAAGGTTGGCTTTGAGGTTCAAACTCCAGGAGCAGTCCGAGTTTATATCTAACGTCTCCACTCTCCTCTCTCTAGCGCCAACGACTTTGATCTTTTTGCTGTTGGGTTGAGCGGGTCACCCGCACACTCACCCACAACCCACCCACCACCCGACGGATGGCTCTCAGCGCAACCCGTCACCCACCCACAGACCCACCCACTTAACGAAATTCGGGTCAAATGCGGGTGGATCGACCCAAACCCGCGGATGATCCGCCCGCATGCCCAGCCCTAGTTTAGGGTACAATTAAAGCATATGCACACAAGTGAGGACACACATGGGTTTTTCTTTATCCTACATACTAAGAGTACTCTCTATTATGTTTAATCGGAATAAGACGGTCGTATTACTCGTTAATTTTTAGCAAAAGAATTTCTCATTCCTTCCACATATACGATCATCAAGCTGACATTTCCCTCTTGACATATACGATCGTGAATTATCGTGAATCGTCATATCAGATAAATTTAACGTGGCATCCTCAACGAGAATCGTTGAGACTAATCCACGGAGAGGAACAACCTCTCGAAGTCAATCGTATTACGTAGCGCCGGAATTGCTTAAGGTTTACAGACGACATAATGAACATATATATAGCCGCCTACTAACCCTAAGCCTGCGAAAGATTGTAATTAACCTAACTAATGAGATGGTTAATTACAATATAATACCCAAACTTCTAACAGCCTCCCTCAAATTGATGAAACTTTCGCAACATCAATTTGTAAGCTAGAAACCAATGACGAGCAGTGGCCACAACCTTTGTCAACAAATCAACAGTCTGCTCTTCCGACGTAATGTACGATAACTCCACTTGTTAGAAGTTTGGGTATTAGATTGTAATTAGATGGTTAATTACAATCTAATACCCAAACTTCTAACAAAGAAAAGAGGCTTAGATGGTTAATTACAATCTAATACCCAAACTTCTAACAAAGAAAAGAGGCGAGCTCGAGCAAATTCATGTTCATGTCATGTGGTTGATGTCTTGATGAGATTCATATTCTTGTACCTCGAAAAAGGCAAAAAAATGAAATGTAAATAAAATAAAGGGTAGGGAAAAGGTTTGCTTGCGGCAGAAACAAAGGGGCAGTATGGACATGGTCAGTTTGTAAACAAACCGGGTCGGGCCCCACCCGATTGATCCATCCAAACCAAACAAAAAAAGGCTTATGGTTCGTTCCAAAAATACGAGTGAACCCATGTTTTGCCCATCTTCACGGTTTCCGGGTTTGCGGGTCATTACATAATTCGGCAAGTGCAACGTTGCACACCCGAGCCCCACATTTCCTGAACCGGTACGGTTCATCACTGGTCGTGGTTAGGAGCAGAGAACAATTTTGATTCTGATTCGGTTCTAGCTCGATTCAATCCGGTTCCAAATCAAATTGATGGATGGCCACCTGATGGTAGTTAATTTTGGCATGTGTTAGGATTTTTGTGCTATTTTGTGTGTGTGGGAATTATTGTGCTATTTTATTTAATTGAAATATTGAATGCATGGGAGAACATTATTCTGTGAGGAACTATGTATTTGTTTGATTGGACACCATTGTGTAGGTTATTTGGAGGCCATCAAAACTACAACTAAATCAAGTTAAAGTTGTTTATGTTTAGAAAATTTCTTGGATTTTGTTCGAAATTTACACATTTTATCTTGTGAAAACTTAAGAGTTTCTTCGATGTATTGAAAAAGAGGTTAGAAACCTCTGAAAAACTGGTCGGTCTGGTGCTTTCGACTTTCGTTTGTGTTATGTCTTGTCTTGTCGTTTGTGACCTTTCTTTTTTTAATTCAATCTACGTCACCAATATAAAAAAATAGGTTAGAAACTATTACTAGCGATTAGGGGTGTGCAATGGTCCGGTCCGTACCGGACCACACCGGGCCAAACCGTTGTTAAGATCGGACCGGACCAGACAGAGTAAAATGCGGTCCGATCCTTGGTCCTCATGAATTTTATAATTACTGAAGAAATGGTGGACCGAGCTCATATTTTGACCTGACCGAACCGGACCAAATGCAAGAATGGTCCGGTCCTTGGTCCTAACATGTCTTTCACTAATGGACCGCGGTTCTCATGAGTTTGGTCCGGACCGAACCGAACCGTTGCACACCCCTACTAGCGATCAATGACAATATAAAAAATCTGAATGAGAAGTGGTAAAAAAAAGCTCAAGATATTCGAATTGTGGTAATTATGAGATGATGGATCAAACTACTATATTTTCTAAATTTTTGATTTAATGTAGTGGTGACAATTTCTGCCTGACCCGTTTTACCCAATCTGTTTGCCCTGTTTTGCGATTAGTTGGTAGTTAAACCCTTCAAAGTTCAATGTAATACCATCAAAGTCATTGACCAAACACCCCCTAGGGTCTGGACTCTGGACCCTCTTCTCCCTCCCTCGCTGCTGTCTGCATCTGATTCCCCTCTGCTTCTTCCTCCCTCTCCTCTGCTTACCTCACTAGTTCACTTCCCATTAGCGACTCCCAGCAACAAAATCATTAATTTTCATTATCCCCTCTTTTCTTTATTTTTTTTCCTCCCTTTTCTCTTTTGTTTTATTCTATTTTCTTCACAAACTCCTTCTATTGTCCATTCTCTATTCTCTTCCCCTGTTTTGCTCCCTTTTTCCACCTTTGTAGACTCCCCTCTGCCCCTCTCTCTCTCTCTCTCTCCTTCCTCTTATCACCACACGAGTAACTCAGTAGAGAAGCCATTAACAGCGAAACAGAGAGAAAGGGAGGGGGCAAAAAGGAACAAAAAGACCAGGGAAATAGATTAAAAAAAAAAAAAACAGAGGGATGATTCTCCATCGCCATACCTCGACCTCTACTTCTGGGTCTTCTTCCCTTCATCGTTAAACTTCACAGATTCAACTCCTCTCAAAATTTCCTACTCTGATTTCTTGGATCTGATTGAGAAAGTAGAGAAAGAAAAGAAAAGTCTGCAGCTTTTTTTTTTATAACTTTTTTATCCTTTTTTTCCTTCTTGCTTCCTCTGTTTCCGATGGAGCCAGATCTTCACCATCTTCACCACCAGCAGCAATCGAACCCGAAGCAAATGAATTCCGGCGGGGGCGGCGGACTGACGAGGTACCAATCGGCTCCGAGCTCCTACTTCACCAGTTACCTGGAAAAAGAGCTATGCGACGAGCTCTTAAACCGCCCTTCCAGCCCGGAAACAGAGAGGTTCTTCGCCAGATTTTTAGCCAACACCGCCAGCTCCGACGGGTTGCAGCCCGACCCGGTTCTCGCCCCGGTTAAGCAAGGCTCTCCCCCTTTACAACAAGGGATGGATGATTACTCTTCCGGGTCGCGGAGCTTCTACCCGCCGCCGCCGCCGCCAAGCAGCCAGTCCCGCCCGCCATTGCCGTCGGCCCCGGCCATGGATTACAGCCGCTTGCCGCCGACTCCGCCACCACCAGCATCGAAATCTGGCGGTGGGAACAACTCGTCGAATCTCGTCAGGCACAGTAGCTCCCCTGCTGGGCTTTTCTCCAATATCAACATTGAGTTCGAAAATGGTATCTTTCTTTGAGCATTCAATTCTTCTGTCTACCCTTTTTAGTACTCTCTCCCAAGGTTTCATCTTTGGTCTTATTTCTAAGAAAGGAAGGGTCTTTGGTATGCGGGGAGGGGAGAAATTTGTTTTGGAAGGGGCAAAAAGTTTGAGTCTTTGCTTGAATGTGTTGATTTTGTGGTGCCTGTTTATAGTAAAGTTTTTGAGGTTTTTCTGTTTGGTCTTTAATGAAATTGAAGGAAGCAGTCTATAATCAAGTAAGCAACTTGTTGGGTTCTTAAACTTCTTATAAATTGACACTTCCAAATATTGTCTCTCTTCCTAAGCTTATAATAAATTGACACTTCCAAATATTTTCTCTCTTCCTAAGCTTATAAACAATCATTTGAACTTAACCCAAGTGGGAGGCGAATTTTATTTGTTTGCATCTCTTCCTCACAACCCTTTTGAGGTACAAGATTGTACTATGTAACTAAGATGTTTTTCGCCACCAACTTATGAATTAATTAACCCCACTTGCCAAATTCCTCTGTTCCTTTCTTATTATTGGGCAAGTAAAGACACTCTTTTGATTTGCTGATACTTCTTTTCCTCATAGTACGAATCTGGACATCGAACCGGTGAGACTAACGATGTCGTGATTTGGTTGTGATTTTCGACGAATGCCAGGGTATGCTGTGATTCGAGGGATGGGAGATTTTGTTGGGAATAGGGAGTCATCAGGGAGGATGAGTCCCATAGCTGAGATTGATACAAAGGACAACATTGTTGAAGCCATTAACAGTAGTAGAGCTGAGAGTTCGTCGGATTTCGGAGAGGCTCATCATCCTGGTAACTATGCTGGTTCTACTGCTGGGTTCCCCATGGGTTCTTGGGATGATTCTGGGATCATGAAAGGTGGGCTCTCTGAAGATGACAGAACTTTCTCTGGTCTCAACGATTCTCAGGTTGGTTTTTGGATGGAAAGCTGCTCCATTTTCCTTGTATTGGGTGTTTCTCACTTCAGTAAGGATTTCACATCAAGTTGATACTACTAACGTGCATGCAACAACTTGGTGTGTTCCCCCACTAAGTTTTCGCTCTTAAGGCGACTCGAATCGACGACCTTCTCCGAGATGCAATGTTGATGAGATTTACTGTCTTTTCTTATGTGGGAACAGGATGTGGAGGGAGGAGGGAACCGTCCACCAATGTTGGCACATCACTTGAGCCTGCCAAAGACGGCGGCAGAGATGTCGGCTCTGGAGAAGCTGCTGCATCTTCAAGATTCCGTGCCTTGCAAGATTCGAGCCAAGCGAGGTTTCGCCACTCATCCAAGAAGCATCGCTGAGAGGGTATGGAAACACCCCACCAGGCTTTCCAACAGATGAAACACAGTAGTGTCTCTTGTGTTTTCAGTACAAACTTCTCTGTAGTGTTAGAAGTCACCTTGTTGTTCCTTTCGTTTTAATGCATTCGATTTCTATTGGATCCATGACGATCATTTGGAAATTCGTGCGAAAACAGGTGAGAAGAACACGAATCAGCGAACGAATGAGGAAGTTGCAAGACTTGGTGCCAAACATGGACAAGGTAACCTAACATCCCCCTCATATACCTCTCTCATTACTGTCGTAATACGAGAATTAGAGGTGACCAACGATTCGGTTTTTAGTTATGATGGATCATGTCAATGTCCTGCAATTATTTCTGACTTGTGTGTTCCCACATTATTGCAGCAAACCAACACGGCAGACATGCTAGATTTGGCCGTTGACTACATCAAAGATCTCCAAACACAAGTCAAGGTAAAAGACATGATGTTCTCATCAGTGCCAACCTAACTAGGATATTCTTGGTCTATTCCAATTCTTAGGCTTTCTGGGTTGTTTTCTACAGGTAATGGCAGATTCTCGAGCTAAATGTACGTGTACAAGTACAAGTATGCATCAATCATAGCAGAAAAAAACCCTAAACTGAAAGGGATCAGCTTCCATTTCCTGGCTAAGCCATATATATGTATACAAGTAATAAGAATAGTCTGCCTTCTACCCATGAAAAATTGAAAAAGAAAGGAGTTTGATGATAGAAAGAAGCAGATTATTAAAGCTATAGCAGGAGCTTTGGTATATTTATATCTGTTGTGAAAAAGGGGGAAATATTCAATGGCAGAAAATAGAAGATGAATAGGAGCTGTACAGTGATTAGCTTGGCCTGTTGTAGACTTGTTAGTGTTGTTGTGACATAATAATAATAATTATTATTATTATTATGATTTATGATTACTATTTTTTCCATTCCCACTTTGTTTTTGGGGTATTGCCTCCAGATTATGTGATTTTTGTAAGAATGTATAGGGCTAAGATTATGATGAAGATTAACAGAGTCGAATCGATCACCTCAAAATTATCGTATTCATGGTAGTACTGCTAGGTTAATGATCTTATGGTTCTGATTTAAAGGTTATGCTTTGGAACCCTTTGTGTACTTTCCAATTTTGTGTGGTGGGTAGGGAAAAAGGTCTGATCTTTCCACTATTTTGTGGCTTTTCTTTTTGGTGTTGATACAAGATAGGAAAAAGAATAGCAGTGTGAAAAGGGGGTAATGTGAAGCTTGAAAGGTTTGTGGATGGGGGGCTAACTTTTTTATTTAATTTTCTTTTGGTTTCAATACTAATTGAGAAATTGACTGGAGAGAAATTAGTGTCCACTACTTTATCAATTTAGTTGTCAACAATTGGTGATGAGTTGATACAGAAAGGAAATAATTCCAAGCATAAAAAGCTCTTTGGTTGGGAAGTTTGGTTTTGTCAATCATGTAATTTCAACTCGATTTCAAATTTTTATGAATTCATCAGTTGTGATGATTTAAGAGAAATTAGGAATAGCTAGCACTCCATATAATACAAATGTTAGGTGGGTGTATCAATCATACAATCTAATTAGGGAACTCGAATAAAATATGCTTTCGAAGTATTTTTTTTTTGAGTAGTTAGACAACGATACTATCTCACAATTTATCAGAATCGACAATAAAATCGTTTTTCAAACTTGTATGTATCTACGTAGCTATACTGATATCAAGTCACGTGCACACCATAAAATGTAATATAGTATAAAAGATAAAAACTCTATAAACTCCGTCACCATACTATTACTAATTCAATCTATCTTTGATTTACAAACTGACAATCATATTCCTCGCATAAACATTATCGAATGTGGAAAAGAATGTTGCGGCGTTGGGTTGATAGGGTAGTACAGTCAGATAAATCACTAATTGATAGATCAACTTAAACGGAAAAATATAACAACAAACATTAATGAATAAAATTCTCATATTTTGATAATAAAAAAAATACATAAACATTGTTAAAAGGAACACAACACAAATTTTAAACTGATTTGATGTTTACTTGAAGATTTATAGGATTTGAAAAACAATGAATGAGCTCCACAAGTTTTTCCCCCTTCTTCTTTGCCTCCTCCATCTATCACTTTAAGTAGGGTCGATGTCACAGAAATTTGTTAAGAGTATAATCAATCTTTCTATGCCAAATTAGGGCCTGATTTTTAGTCTTTTCCTCCTTCCTATCTCTCAAATAACACTCAATTCATTTCCATAAAACTTGATGGAGAAAGGCAATGCTATACGTTTAAGCCAAGCTAGATAGCAATCTCCCAACTTTCTTATCTTCAACGTATGTTCTCCACTACATGTGTCCCCCTTTTCCATTGCATTCTTCGAAGGTGTAGTGTAGTTGTAGTAACAATCAATCAAGGGGTTTCACTCTTGATATGGTGTAGTCATCGGCTACAATATGCTTATCTTTCTTTGTTTCAATAATAAGAGCAATTAATTAAGGCGTGTTTACAGTAGCATAGCCAGATTTTGAATTGATTTGGGCTCTTAAAATTTTCAAAACACTAAAGTCCATGTATTTAATGAAGTTTGAGCTGATTGGTGTCTTTCAATGAGCTAACATCGACAAGAGTATGAAATCCTAAATTCAAAAGATCATACTAAATTCTAAATAGGGTCTTAGGACCCCTCTCTTCACAAACCAAAGAAAGTGTTTCAGTTTTTAGTGAAATTTGTCACATTAGAGGGGGGGGGGGCTTTTTCTGGTTTTAATATATTTTTCTGCTTCAGTTCCCTCTCTGCACAGTCCTGCAGCTGCTCCAAGCCATACTCGGCCAAACCTTGCTGGTTCTCGAACAAGTCTCTCCTCCTCTCGTCATCCTTCGGTATGAAGAATCCATAAGTGTAGCTCCATTTAAGAACCCACCTGAACTCAACTATCTGAATTCAAATAACATTGAGCACATACACCGTGACAGCGAAACCCTCATAACTTCCAGTCCTAACAATTGATAATCTGATTCAACTAACATCAAACAGATAGTTAAAACATCTTGGGCTTTTTCTCGCAAACCCCAGATTCTCTTCGGTACTGTTATTTCGGCCCGTGATCTGAAGCCTTGGCCCAATAGTACTGCACACCAAAATGGTTGAGAACGGCGATTGTCAAGTTCCCTCCCAACGTTCAAAACCTCCCTTCTTCTCCATCAATGGCTTTCCCTCTCAAAATTCAAACCCCACTCCACCAAAATTTGAATCTTTACACAATACACACACAAAACAACAAACCCACCACAACGCTCACCAGGAAAACGCTTTGCTAATCTCCATTTCCCAGTGAAGTAACAGAGTTCAGTCAGACGTCAGTCAAGGAGAGAATCAAGATCAAACCTTTCAAATAATGGAAAACGATTTCAATGCTCCTTCCATAACCAGCAGCAGCAGCCAAGAAAATCTTCAATAAAATCGAATCGAACCCAATTCCATTCCATTTTCCGTCCTTTCTCCGCCGGTTTCCTTACAATGGAAGAAGACCCCGCCGAGTTCTCCTCAGGCGGGCCTCCGCTGGTCTCCCTCTCCTCTTTTCCTCCGGCCCGCCGCCGGCGCCGCCTCTCGTCGTGCTGCTACAACTTCGCCCCCGTCGCCTCGTGTGGGACCATGGCGTGGCTGTCGCTCCAGGGACGGACTGTGAATGCGGAGGAAGCCAGCTCGTCGAAATCCATTGGTTTTTTGGGGAAGGAGGAGGAAGCCCTGGCGTGGGAGCTGGTCACGCCGATCCAGAGGTTTCTCATTGTGGCCGTGATCGGAGTCGCTGCTTCCGAGTCGAGGAAGAATCGGACCATCTCGCAGCTTAACAAGTCTGTGGAGCTTAGGGTAAGTGAGCTTCATCGGTTACGATTTCTAGGGCTTTATGTTACGGCAGAATCGGAATCATTCACAAATCGAATCACTGATTGTAGAAAGAACATCAATGTTCAGTTTCATGGAGGGTCTGTGATTGCAGGATGAGTTGCTGTCGAGTATGCAGCAGAAGCTGGACAGTCTGTGTTTGCAAATGGCTAACATAAACGTGGATGGAAACAACAAGGATGATGAGGAAGAAGAATTTCTAAGCAGTATGGGTTTCGTCGATTGCGGCTGCTGGCATTGTGATCAACACCAGCAAGAGCTCTTTGGTGGTGGTACCATGGTGAGGAGAGGAGTTGTTTTTGCAAACTATGAATGACTGTGAGTTGCATTTTGCACCTGATTGTTTTCTGCTTTTGCGATGTTCAATGTGGGAAATTTTGGTTTCATTAGGGCCTGATGAAGGGTGCGAAAGCTTGTGGAGGGGATGAGGCGATGGAGTTGAAAAGGCAATTGTCGAAACAGGATGAGCAAGAAGAGCGACGAATGTCTGATTTGTCTGATTGGGCGTCCAGTTCTGCATCTGGATCAGAATTTCAGGTAAAAGTGGAATCAAGAATGCTCACAGTTTGGTTGAAAGTTTAAGACTTTACTTGAAATGGTTGTATCTTTTGTTGTCCTTTATTGAATCCATGGCGAGAAAGTTGTAGAATTCTAATGAACTTTATTTGGGAAATCTGGTTATAAGAGCTGTATTTCATTGGAGTAAGTAGATTAGTGTTCTGTTTCTGAGCATCCATTATAGCAACAAGTCAATCATAAGTGATTGATGTTTCTGGTTATTGAATTGAGGTTTCTCCATTTTGCAGATCAGCAACTTTATGGTAGACCAAGATACTTGCAATCTCAAGAGGATATGTGAAGAGAAGGATGTAACCATCAAGGAGCTAACAGATGTTCTTCAGTTAACAGACAAAGCAGGTGCAAAGGTGATAGCTTTACTTACCCTTCTTCCCCCAATCATGACAAAACAAAACCCATTTCCCAGCTGATTCAGCTCCACCTGTTTTTCTTACCCTTATTAGAGACTATCAGAACTGGAAGACATCATATGTAGAAAGAACGCCATGATCACAAGACTCAAGAAGGACATAGTGGTACTAGAACAAAAGGTAGTAACTTTTACTTTGATAAGGCTCGAGAAAGTTCATAAGATTCCCACAAACATGGAAACATACACCAAGTCACCAATGGTTGTAAAAACTGAAAACCTTTTTGGCACAGGTGGTTCAGCTGACAAGGGTCCGCAGGAAATCAACCTCACATTCCACCGCGGAGTTCGAGCAATCATCCTCTTTCATGATGGACAACATAGTCTACGACATGGACAGCTTAACCAGCTCCTCTTCCTCCTCCTCGGATTCAGATTCTCCAACAACCCACCGCATCATTCCTCCTCCACAGACGACATGCCAGAAACCAGCTCCAGGAAGGGTTTCAAGCACTCCACCAGCCATGGCCAGATCAGTAAGCCCTCTCATGGAACTGTCAATGAATCAAAAGTATGGCAGACCTTCTCCATCGAAGTCAAAGCAGTTGTCTGCTAATGGTGATATCAAGAAGATGAGGAGAAGAAGGCCACCACCTCAAGCTGCTTCCAATTCCATTCCGAAGAAGAGATGGTCCTAGTTGGTAAACACTATGGTTGTGTTGTTCTAGTTGAAGTAGATTCAGCTCAGTGAAAACATTTGAGTTGATGTCAGTTAATAATCCATTGGCAATATCATAACTGTTACTACTGATCTTAATGAAGTGTTTTGGAGTAGCGGCTGGTATGAATTTCCATTTACCTCCCCTTTGACTGATGGCGACTCCCTGGTCTATCGGTCATCCAAGGGTCCAACGACGACGTTTTTGGTACCGCCGTGTAGACTCCCAACAACAATGGCAGCTGCTTCTGTGTATGGCGGCATTCCCTTTGGGTTGTTTTAGTCAACCGTACCATAGATTATTAGCCCCAATGTTTGAATATTCTAATTGAATGTTGCATTTTAACCTAATTAATTGCTTGAAGAGTTTGGCTGTGTATTACGATGTATACACTTTGTATTATCCCATTTGAAAATTGATTGATCGTGTTACATCAACATCATCAGTGAGATGGGGATAGAGGGGAATGTA